TCGTAATGAAATTTCTACACAGGATGCAATGGAATAAATGAATTTAAGAGAAGCAGTCTACCAAAATAACTCTACACAATTGGAAATAGAGCAAAAAGGTATGATTAGCAGCAGAAAAAAAATGAGGCTAAACAATCATGTATTATTACAATCCAGAACTGCAATAAGTGGATAAAACTAAACCGCTAAGAAGCCAGAGTGAGTGTCACAATTCATTTCCCGGAGCCGCCAATTGACAAGAACTAATCTACCCAGGTAGGAATCAAACTCAGTAGATTCTGAACCGAGCACTCTGAGGTCCCACGCCTTAACATACTTATTCATCATAGTCTCTGTCCCTGTATGTCACAAAGAGAACTGAGTTGGTGTTAAACTATCCATGATTCGGAAAAGGAAAGTCCCTAGTGATATTTCTGAACATAACTCATGAATTGCTAATTGCTCTGGGGGTTAGAGGCAACGCAACAATAAATAAATCCACTCCTGTCTAATCTAAATAACGGGTAATCAGTTATGTTCTGTCAAAATCAATAATACACTAATGGCATTTCAGTGGCACGGTGTGTAGGTAGGCAGCACTTAAGCATTCTAGATTCAGAAGCGTCGAAGTAAACTGAGTCCTCGTGTGTCTTAACACTTATTAAGCGCTATTTTTTAATGAATGAATGAATGAAAACGTGTTTATTAAACTTTTTAAAAAAATACACAAAGTAAAATATATATATATGTATATATATATATACAAGCTACAACACATAGGCAATGGAAAATTCCGTCTGTCGAGGTCTGTGTGTAATTAATAATAAATATTCATCACATTTATAACTAAAATAAATCAGCAATAATATATCTACATTATTATTATGGTTTTATACATCCATTCTAGCAATTTTCTTTTTCACTGCCTCATCTGTTCAAATAGAGTTTTCAAAAAAACAAACATTAATACATCACAAATCCAATAAATAAGAAATGCACAAGTATCGTCGAATCCAGTCCCACCTCGTACACAACAACGAATCCCACTCTCAGTTAACACTCCTTACCCGCCACCTGAACCTATCCTAAATCCACTTCACAATCAACATCCATCTGATCTAACTTCCATTCTATCATCCTTCCTATTGGACCTCCAAAACACCATAAAACCTCTTATCACTCTACTAACCAGAATCCTGACCGAAATTCCGTTTAATTTCCCTCGATGAGCACAAAGCCCCTAACTATCCTTTTATGGAATGCTAACGGACTACACAACCACCGTGACGAACTTGACATATTCCTTCATGACAATCACATTGATATAGCTCTACTGACTGAAACGCATTTCACAAAACGGACACATTTTCACATACGAGACTACATCACTTATAGATCTGACCATCCAGACAACACTGCCCACGCCGGTTCTTGCATCCTTATACATAAATCTTTACCCCATTCCCTTATTCCTTCCACTCCAACTGACGCCATTCAATCAACTTCTTTAATCCTTTCAACTCGCCCTTTCCATTTCACAGTCTCAGCTGTATACTGTCCTCCTGGTAATTCCCTCTCCTTTAATCTCCTTGATACGTTGTTCCAATCCCTCGGATCGCGCTTTATTGCTGGAGGAGATTACAATGCTAAACACCAACGGTGGGGTTGTCGAACATCCAACTCCCGCGGTAACATCCTTTCCCGTCTCTCATCTTCTAATAGTTATTCAATCCTCTCGCCCATGAGTCCTACTTATTGGCCAACATCCCTCAAAAAACGTCCCGATATCCTGGATATATTTATCACCTCCCAGATTTCCTCCTCCCAAACTATAATCAAATCCCTGGATGACCTTTCTTCAGACCATAGTCCGGTTCTGCTTTCATTACATTCTGACTTTGCTCCTAAACCATCACCTCCCAAACTGATCACTGGACGAGTAAACTGGGACAAATTTCGTGATGATTTGGAAAACAAACTTGACCTCAAAATTCCGCTAAAGACAAAAGAAGACATTAATGGTGCCATAGAAAAACTGACATCAACAATAACAGACAGTATAAATAATAATACCTTTATCAATAAGATTAACAAACCACAAAATACTAACTTGCCACAGCATATTCGCATCTTATTAAAGGAAAAACGCAGAGCAAGATCGAAGTGGCATCGAACTAGATACCCGACAGATAAAGCGCATTACACCCAACTGACTAACAAACTGAAATCAGAAATAAGAAAATACAAAATTCAAAATTTACTAAATTTTACTGAAAAACTTACACCTACCGATAAATCACTATGGACGACCACTAAAAGGCTCCTGAAATTTAAGGACTGCAACCATCCACTACTCACTGAAGCCCAAACCTGGTCCAAATCCGACGAAGAAAAATCCCAAATATTTGCCCACCACCTCTTTAAAACCTTTAATCCACATCCCGATATTCTTAACCCAAATCACCTTGAATGTATTGAAGCAGAACTGGATATCCCACTCCAAATGACTCCTCCTCCTAAAGCCTTTCATCCTTCAGAAATATCCAACATCATTCACAGGTTACCTTCCCGCAAAGCTCCTGGACACGACCTAATTACATCCCAGATCCTAAAACTACTTCCTCGGAAAGCCATTCTATTCCTTACATATATATATAATGCTGTACTCCGATCAACATATTTTCCCGACCCTTGGAAACTATCCATTATCAAAATGATACATAAACCCAAAAAGCCACCAGAATACCCATCCTCTTACCGTCCTATCTCTCTTTTACCCATCATGGGAAAAGTCCTAGAAAAACTCATCCTAAAACGCCTGTACCCAATCCTAGATTCTAATCACATAATCCCAGATCACCAGTTTGGATTCCGCAGATCCCATTCCACTATCCAGCAATGCCATCGTGTGGTGGATGTTGTCTCCTCTGCATTAGAGCGCGGAATGTACTGCACGGGAGTCTTTCTCGATGTAGAACAGGCTTTTGATCGAGTCTGGCACCCGGGATTACTTTACAAACTCCGTAAATTCCTACATCCTACATACTTCCTCATTATCCGTTCCTATCTAACTGATAGATACTCAAAAGTCAATCACAATAATGCTTATTCATCCCTCTTTTCCCAGTCCGCTGGTGTTCCTCAAGGTAGTATCCTTGGTCCTATCCTTTACACAGTTTATACAGCTGACATCCCAACCCATCCTAACACTGTTATTACCACGTATGCCGATGATACATGTGTCCTATCCGTTAATAATGACCCAACCATTGCATCCCAAACTCTTCAATCGCACATCACAAGCCTTGAAGAATGGTGTAAAAACTGGAGGATTAAAATAAATTCTAATAAATCCCATCAAATCACCTTTACCCTTCGACGTAAACCTATGACCTCATGTCCCACAGTATCCTTTAATAATACCCCACTTATCCCTGTTGAACAAATCCGATACCTTGGACTTCACTTGGACAAACGTCTAACTTGGAATCCTCATACCAGACTGAAACGACAAGAAACCGCTCGACGTTTCCGACTACTCCAACACTTACTAGACAAACGCTCTAAGCTTCCAGTAAATTACAAAAGACTTATATACATGACTACAATAAGACCTATTTGGACTTACGGAGTTGAGCTTTGGGGCTCCACTAAGCCATCAAATTCCTCTCGTATCCAATCCTTACAATCCAAAATCCTTCGGAAAATCCTCAATGCTCCTTACTTTGTCACCAATAAAATAATCCATAATGACCTTAATGTTCCTTATGTTTCCGATTTGGCCCAATCCAGATACCAATCTTTCCATAATAAACTTCAGAACCATCCGAATCCTCTCGTCTCTAACCTTGCTTCCTCTTCTATTCCTGATAACCCTCCGAGGCGTCTGAAAAGAAGATGGCCTCGAGATCTCTTATTGTAAATACATTTTGTTTTTAGAGTGCTACCAGTGGGTAGTTTCTCAACAAGTCATTTCATGTTTTTATTTTCTGTTATCAAATTTACTTAATGTATTTAATTTTTTAATACAGTTGTAAATATCATGTATAAATAAATAAAAAAAAAATCAACAATAATAATAATCATCAAATACAATATAACAATAAAACAAACGTTACGATAAATAAACACGATATTGTATCAATACTTTACTATCTGACTAATTGGGATCTTTGCAATGTGGCCTGCTGTACATAATTGCTTAAGGCTTTCCAGTTAAGAAACCAAATAATTCTTCTGGAGAACAGGTCCGCTGGTCAAAACATTTCTCTCTTAACTCACTGACCATGTGGCAGGTCCCCAAAAAGTGAATGATATCCTCTTTTCCTTGAGAGTTACATACCGGACAACAGTCGTTGTCCCCCACCATCCATGGTTTTAAGCTTAAATCGAGCAAATCTGTCCTACATCGAAAAATTGACCCTATAGTCACAATATAAAAACTATCAATAAGATAAGGTGTAACAGTGCCACTGAACATAGGCATGCGTAAACAGAAAAACTTGAATGAAGACATTTTTCTAGATTATTTTGTTTTTCTAAGTCCTCTACCCTATGTCTAATAACAGTCAATTTTCCGCGCAGATCAGCGATATTTACAATGCGCGCTATTTTTATTTTATTGTAATTAAAGAAAACAATGAAATTTAAAAAAAAAATAGACCAAACCTCGAACCCGAGAATGTAGGAATCTACGGTCGAGCCCACAAAATAAATTTTGAATTTTTTCCTATCTACATTTTTAATTTTTTTTTTATTAGTGGTTATGGGTAGTCAAATTTTAATAAGGATATAAAAAATATTGGACAAAAAAGTTTTTCAACATCCATACCTAGTTGCCGATGTCGTATGAGACTTCAACATTTGTCGGACAATGATAAACTGCCCTTTTTTTTATAGTCATCAGAGTTTTCGAACCAAAAAAACGGACGTCAAAATAATAATGAGTATAGTTCTTCTATTACTGTTTACAGACCATATCCATAATGTTTCCATTTGATAACAAATTGACTTCTCCTCAGGACGGTCTGCCGAGTAGCGAGGGTTCGGCGGTCGATGACGAAGAGCACAGGGGCAGGTGGAAGGCAGTCGGCCAAGCAGAGGACCTCATCCTCTCAGACCAAGGTCACCGAGATGCTCCTCGTAGTATCCACAGTCTTCATCGTCCTCAACCTACCATCCTACGCCATTAGGATGTACGTCTATATCAACCAGGTGAGTCCATACATCTCCCAAATAGTCGATAAGTTAAATTGTATTAATCAGTCAAGTTCCATATTTTTTTAATTGTATTTTCAGGTATAAGGTTTAATGTATAGCATAAAATTATTACAATGTTCCGGGGATGCTCTTCGTTGGTCCATAAATATGCAATTTCTAACCCCAAGGCACTTACCGGCCAGTTAGTTTCTAAATTTCTCATCTTAATTTTGTTATATAACACCACTTATACCATCCTGTAGAACAAATCCGATACCTAGGACTCCACCTGGACAAACGTCTCACTTGGAATCCTCATACAAGACTGAAACGAAAAGAAACTGCTTGACGTTTCCGCTTACTCCAACACTTACTGGACAAACACTCTAAACTTATTAAAAAAGACTCATATACCTGACTGTAATACGACCTATTTGGACCTACGGAGTTGATGTATGGGGCTCCAATAAACCATCAAATTCCTCTCGTATCCAATCTTTACAATCCAAAATCCTTCGTAAAATCCTCAATGCTCCTTACTTTTTCACAAATAAAATAATCCATAAAGACCTTAATGTTCCATATGTTTTCGATTTGGCCCAATCTATAATAAACTTCAAAAACATCCGAATCCTCTTCTTTCTAACCTTGATTCATCTTCGATTCATGATAACCCTCCGAGGCGTCTGGAAAGAAGATGGTCTCGTGATCTCCTTATATAGACATATTATTAGAGTCAATATGCTAGCAATCGGTAGTTTCTCAACAAGCGTTTTCGTGTGATTATATTTCTCTGTACACATTTACTTGATGTATTTATACTAACACAGTTTGAAATATCAAATACAAAACTGTATATATATATTTAAAAATATGTATGTATATTAAATTAAAAAAATAATAAATTCTGTTATAAAAAAATAATGGGCGGAGGAGGGAGAGTAAAGATGTGTCCCGATTTACTACAAAGTTAGACATACATATATACCTGAAGCCAGGGCCGATAAAGACTTATTTTTGTAAGCAAATTTTCAACAAGCTGATAGTACTCATATTAGGTATAACGAAAATGCTCTTCTGCCAGCTCGGGCAAGTCGATTTAAGGTTGTAGGGGCATTTTAATCCATCAAAAAGTTCAAAAGTTTGGTGCATTTCAAACAAATTTTCTCTTCATCGGAATTGTCAATAATAGGTCATTAGAAACAGGATGAAATGCTGAAAATTTCCCTTGCCTACAGTCTATAGGTCCGAATTTTAGTTTCTGAGATATTTTAATCCATATTTTTAATAAAAGTCATTATCAGTTGGTTTTCGGCACAGTTTTTTCCTTTTTCGCCTCCCTAACACGGGATCTCGTTAAGATACAATTTTGAATAATAAGTCATTAGAAAGAGGATGATATTCTGAACATTTTCTTTGCTTACAGTATGCAGCTTCAAATTTTAGTTTCTGAGATATTTTTTCCATGTGCAAAAACAATTCAATTGGTTGACTCACAAAACGCGCCTATGGATTAAAATATTACAGCAATGAAAATTCGAACCTGCAAACTGTAAGCAAGGGAAAGGTTCAGTATTTCATTTTTTTTTTTTTCTGTATTGAGATATTATTCAAACTTGTAACTTAACGCGACGAAAGAAAATTTTCTTAAAATTTCAGTAGATTTTAACTTTTTTATGAATTCAAATGTACCTAAAACCTTAAATTATCTGTCTGAACTGGCAGACGAGCATTTTCGAAATACCTACAAGGAGTATTATCAGTCTGTTATATTGAAAATTTGCTTAAAATACTACGGTGTTTTCGGCCCTGGATCCAGCTATAAACTAACTAATTAAATAGAAATACTTTTTTAAAAAATTGGCGAGGGAGTTTTTAGCTTATTACATGAAACAGAAGGGAAATGCCATTGCTTTATTTAGAATAACATTGCTTTATTTTCAATTTGTTTTCTGTACTTTTATTCTTTAATCCACCCACGTCAAGCTTATAACTGACAATCGCCAGATGGGCTGCGGTATTCTACAATCATATTTTTTAAAAAGGATATCGTTTCAAATATATATATTTTTTAAATTCTATTCCTCGTAAAAGCAAAAAGAATATAAAAGAATATTCATAAAGACGTAAAATCCTAAATATAAAAGTACTTACAATATTTTTATAAATATTTGCTATTCGAATCTTTAATGATATTTGAATATCTTGAAATGTTTTTATTATAACGATAAAAATATAGCGTTTAAATTAGAAACCGGAGATCAGAAGGAATTCATAGTGTTCAAGTGTAATTACGATATTCTCTCCATTAACAAAATCTCTATTAACTTGTTCCCATTCAGGAACACATGGCCGTGTTCATGACAGCTTTCTAATTTAAAACAGCAATAGTCACCGTACTGCTAAAGAGTTAGTAATTAGTTTTTTGGACAACGGCTCACGAACTATAAATCTACTCTTTTTTTCTTTTAATTCCTAGTAATTTTTCTTATTTATGTTGGTGAGAAACTTGACTATATTTCTTACATCCGGGGAGGAAACGAAGATAATAAGGCATTGTTTCGGGTTCTGAGTTCAAGTCCGGCTGAAACCACAATCTATTCATCCTTCTACAACGGTTCTGAGATCAGGAGATCCTGCTTAGGCACATCCGGCATCCATAAAGTTTGTATTTTTAATTAGATAATCAATTAAAGACACTAGCGGATCCAGGTTTTGATTAAGGGAGGGGGCTTCATCCCGAAAGATTTTTTTATCATATATATATATACATATATATATATATATATATATATATATAACAATAATTAATTTGAAAAAAAAGAAAGAAACTAACTACCTATTATTACCTGTATGACATGGTGTTTAAGTAATTCTTGAAGTCCTATTAAAGGTAATTACATGAACAATAATATTTTAAGAGATAGTTTTTATTTTATTTTTTTTTTTTATAAAAGATGTTTGTATTTTACCATTTTGGGAGAGGGGCTTCAGCACGAAAGCTCTCTCCCCCCTCCCTCCTCCGTAGATCTGCCTGTGATTAAACAGAAAACCCTGGCGGTCAAATCTGCAAACAGAACTTTCATGCAAAGTACTGAATCGAGGACCCAGTCTATGAGTTGTTTATTGGGCAGTGCTGCGTATTTTTTTTTTTTTTTTTCATATTGCGGCCCTTTCGTTTCAAAACAATAAAATTTGCATTTAACAACTTTAAACCTTGCTGGTATTAGGAATATCCACACAAATAGAAAGTTAGATAAACACTATTTGAGATATTTATTTTTATTTTTAATAGAAATATCCGCGGAACTCCATCGATTGTTCAATAAAAAAACAATTATCTGTACACCACGTTCCACTAACAACTACAATCTCTTTTGTCAGTCGAATCTAATTATTTCGTGTATTGAAAGAGAATTTTTGTTAGCGAAAATTAATAAAATGAAGGAGAAAAAACTGTATAATTTTACAAACTAATTAAAATATAAAACTTGGCTTCTATTCACGTCTTCTAAAGGAGAACTTTTTTAATTCAGAGTTAATAAAAAATAGGAGCTCGAAAGCATAAAAGAATGATCCCATGATTAGACTTTAAAATTAAATTCTGTTCTTGATAAACAAAACCTGCCATTAATTAATAGATTGGCATTGGGTTCACTACATTTTTATTAATAAAAAAAATAATATAAAATTGTTTTGCAAAATGAGGAAATTTGAATTTAACATGAAATTATTAGTTGATTGTTACAAACTCTAAGATTATGAATAAACGATTATCATTCTCAAACTACGATTGTTTCTTTTGCTTGAAGAAGCCTCATAAGCGATGAGCTTGGAGAATAAATTCAGACAGGATAAACTTTAAGCTCGAAGAATAAACTATAAATATAGATCATGGATCCAGGTCTCTTGGGAAGAGTGTGGCTACAAGAATGTAACTGCAAGAGAGTTTTATCCTTAGGAACATGGTAGTAAATATACCCCAGGAATATTAGAGGGGAGAAGTCGGAAGAGGGCTGAAAAGGAAGTTATCAATAATTAATATTGATATGAGGTCTGTGAGAATGTGGTATTTTACCGAAATATATTATTGTTCTATAAGTCTTGATAGGAGGTCTTATGCTGTCATATCTGTACTTTTAGATAACTATTTCTAAGCTATCTAAAACAGTCTTGTCCTTTAAGTACGAAAACTGTCAATACATGATTCACTAATTCAATAAGCAGTGGCTGATTGTATTATTATCCAATAAAAAAAAAAAAATTCAATAAGCTCAATTGTATAAGTGGTGATCAAATTAATATTATTATTACAATTGTTTACAGATTAAGTCCTCTTGCTTACTAAAACGGAAAACTGACTTCACTTAACTCGAACGAATACAAAGTATGAGAAGGCAGTAGGGAAGTAAAAATAAAATTTATTGAATATAATGAATATTGAATAAATGTATTAAATAATTTCAAACCTTCAGTATTGGGGAAGCGAAAATAAAAAATCTTTTGGTCAAAAAAGAACATTTCGCTGTTTTTATTTTCATTTCTCAATGAGGACAGTATTCATTCATTGATGATGCGTAGGAAGTTTTTGTCATGTTAGGGCAGGATTTTTCGTTTCATTTTATCCTCATTCATTCATTCAATTAAATATTTACAAAGCTAAAAGGATCCAAACCCAATCGAGATATTTAAAAAAAAAAAAAGGCTTTGTGAGGTATTTTCCGAGAAAACAAAAAACTAAATCTTTATTATTTTAGCGTTTGATTAAAACTCATTATTTCATATTCCTTATATTTTACTAAAATCAATCATACGGGAGTTTTGGTTCAGTTCTCATAAAATATACAACAGTTGAAATATGCACATCAAAATCAGTTTTTGTAATTAATATTTAAGATAAGTAAATCTTTTCTCCAGTTTATAAAATTTGTTTCTCCATTAAAAAAATCTTTACTTTGGACATTGGTATAGAAAGAAATATTATATTTGGCAGATAGCTACAGAACGAGTACAAA